CTAACGTCGTCGCCCGCGCCCGCGGGCGTAGGCTGCTTCAGGGACGATGACGGCCTTGGCAACCACTGTTCATGGTAAAATCTTCTGCGGGGATACGCGTTCCACCCACTGATCACCGCAGCCAGTGGCGCCACCTGCTAGCCACCTGCCTCCACCCCAGACTAGATCTGTAACAAGCAGCTTGGAGCTGCCGAGCGCCCGGGAGCGTGGCGATGCCGCTTCAGTCCCCGCAACTTTCTCGTGACGTGCTCTTATGCACATGCAGACGAGCCGACTAATGATTCTCCGACGCAGACACCACCAGCTCGGGGCCGATATTGGAGCAAGGTGGACTTCACAGCCAGCAACTGGGACTGACCGAGGTCGACTGGAGTCTGGTTTTTACTTGCCGACGCCCTGGTCAGCAGACTGATTACCTGGTGCGCCATGTTCTCGCCGTATTAGACGACATCGCCCCAGTAAAACCTCAAATCAAACTCAAAGCTCCACTCCAATAAAAGCAATCCAACTGCACAACAACAATGATATATGAATATATGAATATAATATAGCATATATATATATATATATAACAAATAATAAGAATATAACTATACAAACAAATAAAATCAAACTACACAATCCACCGGCACCTCAAGTCACTGATGCTGACGAACAGCTCTGTGTCCGAGCGCCGGTGCTGCTCTGGCCTCGAACCCGTCATGACGACAGCGAGGGACATCCGCAGGCAAATCCGGAGGGGCAGAGCCAAGCGGGTTGTATAAATGCATACCAGCCCCCAGCACCACACCCCCCCACCCTCCACAACCGCTGATGAGCAAGACGGCCCGAGTTCAACTCCCGAGGGTCAACTGAACGTCATGAAACGAGCTTCTTTGCGCACCAATGGAGTCAAACAGCGGACTGCTGTGATGACTGCCAGAGCTGAAAACAACTGCATCAGAGCCGCCATCACTTCTACCCCGAGTTTGTTCTGAACAATGTAGAGTTTCAGCCAGTGCGCTCGGAAACCTGTATTCTGTCGTTCTTTAGCATGTGTAATTCGAATTATTGCGGTGATGCAGTCTCCCTCGTACGTCATAAAACGTTGTTGTTGCGTACTCTGTCACATTCATTCTCGCGACCGTGAACACCGTGCCTGTGCACCGTGCCACAGTTCCTACTTAGAAATTGTTTTTGAAAACGGCTTAATTTAAATATATTTACTGGTCAAAAGGGTCTCTATTTCAGCCTTCCAACTTAAGATCTGATCCCCGATTGTACCTGGCATTGGTACAGTAGTTGGAGCGAGTCGTTGACAAGCAACTGTATAACCTTAACCCGCCACCTCTTCGCCCAGTCACGACACACGATTTCGTAAGACCACTCAACCGAAACAGCCTTCGGCGACCCCTAAATGATATTGTACAATGTGTATGGATAGGGGCAAAAACCATACTCCTCGTGCTATTGGATTTGTCCAAATGGTTTGATCTGGTGGAATGGTGATACGCCTTTTGCAAGGCTATTTTCTTCATGGCGTTGACCGTCACTGGGCTTCGACTATTTTCGCAACGACAGGCAGAAAGTAAAATTCACCCGCGAGCACCCTCGAACCCTCACAATTACGACCAATTGAAATACCACAGGGTGTATGGCGGTAACACCCCTCGGCCCGTGTTATAACAACTTTTTTCTTTCAAATTAGATCAGCCTCCGTGTCGAAGGCGGCGTCCGCGTGTCCAATAGGCGGACGACATCCCAAGCCATTTTTAGCTGATAGAAAGCTAGAACTGACTGAATTACAGCGAAATGGAACGGGCAGTATCCATACTGTACAATGGTTTGGGCAACATGCTGTGAAAATAAATGCCAGCAAAAACCAGTTTATCGTGATCGGCACTCAGCAAATGATGCGGCACGTGCGGCGGGTCTCAATCCACATCGGAGGCAACGAGATTGGGGAGAGCAACACGGCACCTTGGATTGACCCTTCGATCAACAGTTCACCTTCTTGGCGCACATTGTCAGCGGAAAAATACGCTGCAACGGGCTCCTTGCGGCTCTGTCTCATATAGGGCATAGTCTCCCCAGTGAACATGTAGGCACCACAGTGGAGTTTGGTCATCTCCATACCTCACTTCCGCATATCTATGTACGGCGGCGCAGACCAGTCAAAAATGAAAACGAGTCCAGTGAATTTTAAATTTTTGCGGCGTGATCAGTGTGAGGCTGTCGGAAGTCGGACCACATTTCCTTCCTGATAAACCAAAATCCAGCCGTGAATATGAGACGGCTGGCAACACAGGCCTTCTTCGTAAGATCATCACAACGGTACAACCTTCAGCATTGGCAATATACTCGGCGCAACCATGGATACGACAGGAAGACGTGCCCACCAGTCACACATCAGGCCGCCGCCAACCATGGATGCGACAAGACGTGCCCACCAGTCACACATGAGGCCGCCAACAACCATGGACATGACAGGAAGACGTGCCTACCAGTCACACATCAGGCCGCCAACAACGCGTCAAACAAGTGGCAAACGGCAGTTGACTATGGGCTCCCGTCGACTACAGCCTCCTGCCATACTACGTGAGGGCTCTTAACCACTCACGCTTCGCTGCCACGGTTAAGCGAGAGCTTCCACATGCCATCGAGACGTGAGCACGCGTTTTAAATGTGGCAGATGTGTGTTTTGTCGAATGAATGAGCGTTTCTATATCCGGAAGTGTTTAAAGACATGACACAGCACAGCAATAGCCAAGCGCGTATTTTATCCGTTTATAGAATGCATGACATAATGGAATGTTCTGCACCGCGAACACGTACATATAACCATACAAGTGGGTCGCCTGCCTCTGGTGACGGCCTTCGTCGCGGTGCAGCGGCGCGAAGCAGGTCGCGCCGTCCCCGGAGGCCCTCTGGCGTACCCAGGCGCTGCGAAGCGCTAAACGACGCATTGGTCGGCTCCGGTGAGCCCGCTCCGCAGCCTCCGAGGCGAGCTGTTCTCACAGGATGAAGGTGAGAGCCAGACGGAGCTGCCCGGCACTGGTGTAACAGTGCTCACCGGAGAGGCGCGCTGCGTGAGACGCGTGTGCGCGTGGCACCTGCGCTCCCACACCTGATCACCGGCGAGGCACGCTGCGTGAGACGCGTGTGCGCGTGGACCTGCGCTCCCAGACCTGACCACCGGCGAGACGCGCTACGTGAGACGCGCGTGCGCGTGGCACCTGCGCTCCCACACCTGACCACCGGCGAGGCGCGCTGTGTGAGACGCGCGTGCGCGTGGACCTGCGCTCCCAGACCTGACCAGCGCGGCGGCCCCCGCGCTGTAAAAACCCAAATGCGAACGGTACTCTCGATAAGATCGAAATGAAATTGGGAATCAAATGCATTTCGGCTGCCTCAAGCTGGTGTTAATTCCATCGGGCAAATATGAGTCGGGGTCAGAAGAGGGTCATCCGTATAGGCTGGAATCGCAGGTGAGTAAGCTCAAATGAAAACGTGGCATATCTCCTTATTCTGACAGGTGATGGGGGAAAATGGACCAAATGGACTATATATATATATATATATATATATATATATATATATATATATATATATATATATATGTTTATGTATATGCTTTAAATTCGCACGAATGGTCATCTCTTGTAATAAGCATCATTTTCAACGAAATGTATTCCATCAGAGATCGAAATACATTACGAAACGAAGCACCCATCTCATTGCGACCGAACCAAAGTCGATTCAACATCGCGCTGCGTTGCTCAGAAACAATGCCAAAGTCAAAGTTAGTCCCCTCAACTATAGGTCGAGGCTGAATCAATCCCAGAATGGAAACAAACACAAACCTAACAGAAAGGCATGTATTTCTATAAGTTACGAAGTGATTTCACCACACTCCTTTCCTCGCCTGAAAACGAGGCGCGCCAGAGGCATCAACAACACAAGACATACACTCGCGGCTCATCAAGACACACAGCAGACAGGACCTTACCGCCTCGGGGCGATCCTCAGGCGGGCATGCGCGCTGTCCGTGTCTGTCAGCGGCGGGCGGCGCTGTCCGTGTCTGTCAGCGGAGGGCGGCGCTGTCCGTGTCTGTCAGCGGAGGGCGGCGCTGTCCGTGTCTGTCAGCGGCGGGCGGCGCTGTCCGTGTCTGTCAGCGGCGGGCGGCGCTGTCCGTGTCTGTCAGCGGCGGGCGGCGCTGTCCGTGTCTGTCAGCGGAGGGCGGCGCTGTCCGTGTCTGTCAGCGGCGGGCGGCGCTGTCCATGTCTGTCAGCGGAGGGCGGCGCTGTCCGTGTCTGTCAGCGGCGGGCGGCGCTGTCCGTGTCTGTCAGCGGCGGGCGGCGCTGTCCGTGTCTGTCAGCGGCGGGCGGAGCTGTCCGTGTCTGTCAGCGGCGGGCGGAGCTGTCCGTGTCTGTCAGCGGCGGGCGGCGCTGTCCGTGTCTGTCAGCGGAGGGCGGCGCTGTCCGTGTCTGTCAGCGGAGGGGCGGCGCTGTCCGTGTCTGTCAGCGGAGGGCGGCGCTGTCCGTTGTCTGTCAGCGGGCGGGCGGCGCTGTCCGTGTCTGTCAGCGGAGGGCGGCGCTGTCCGTGTCTGTCAGCGGAGGGCGGCGCTTCCGGTGCGGCGTCGCCGCCTCAGTCGGCCCGCTCCAGCGTCAGCTGCTGCTCCTCGCCCATCTCGACGTCGCTGTCCCAGTCGGCGGTCGGGGCGGCCGGCGTCGCCGCCTCAGTCGGCCCGCTCCAGCGTCAGCTGCTGCTCCTCGCCCATCTCGACGTCGCTGTCCCAGTCGGCGGTCGGGGCGGCCGGCGTCGCCGCCTCAGTCGGCCCGCTCCAGCGTCAGCTGCTGCTCCTCGCTCATCTCGACGTCGCTGTCCCAGTCGGCGGTCGGGGCGGCCGGCGCCGCCGCCTCAGTCGGCCCGCTCCAGCGTCAGCTGCTGCTCCTCGCTCATCTCGACGTCGCTGTCCCAGTCGGCGGTCGGGGCGGCCGGCGTCGCCGGCACGTTGGCGCGGATGACGCGACTCCGGTCCAGGCCTGCAGCGGGGCGTCGCCGTTTGTTGTTCAGTCATCAGCTGACATTCATCGCCGCCAGGGAGCCCACGACCCACCGCCCACCCGTCCCCGATTATAGCCGCCCCCAGCCGGCGGCGGACGCCCGGCCTGGTAACGCCATTCAGCCATCCCTCAGCTGCCACGCCCTCTGGAGGTTCCTACGTGGATCGTTCGGTCTTAACTAGAAATGCTCAGCGAATTATTGCACCTGTTGCCCGGTGCAATTTTGCACATCGTTACCTCTGAGACAGATACTGAGTTTCTCGTTGTCAGTGAGCTCGCAAAACAAATAAAGAATCTACACTCCTAAAGGTCCACCGATTTATGACATGGTATCATCAAGGTGCTGATGAAAGTGCAAGTCAGTAGATATGACCAGGGCACGGTCGCCCACGCGCCCCCACTGCCACCGGACGCTTAGCGCACCGTCGGCCGGCACGTCACGGGCAGGTGTCACGAGCGGCACGGGCGGTCTCCAAACATCACCCGCAATGAAAGTACACAGCCCTTATCATAAAATGGCAGGCCGTCGGCGGCTACACGACTTCACGGAGCTCGCCACAGTTTGGTAACGAAGACTGCTTGCAACATAATGTGGGACAGGAAATACTGTTTACACGTTGTTTCCTATCGTACATTTCCTTTGCCTGCCACCATCCCACGCACGTTAAAACTGACAGCAGAAGACCGCCGCCCGGTGCCAGCATTTCATTTGGTAGCGACCTCTGCTCGTTGGGACCGCAACTAACGGGCCGACGCCGGCTGGGCGGTCGGCCGGCGCTCCGGGCCCGAGGGAGGAGCGCGGGTGCTCACCTCGGTCGGTCTTGGTTCGCGATCCGGTCAGCGCTTTCCTGCTCTCCTCGTAGTACTGGTTCGGGTGTTGCACGACGCCCTCGAACGGGCGCCGGTGCACGAGCTCCCAGTATTTCTGACAGGCGAGCTGCGGCTGCGAGCGGGCTGCCAGCTCCTGCACCTCCGCCGAGCCTGCGCCACGGCACGGAGAGGGTTAGGCGGCGCATCTCCACCGAGCCTGCGCCACAGCAAGGAGCGGGTCAGACGGTGTGGCACCTCCGCCGAGCCTGCGCCACGGCACGGAGCGGGTCAGACGGTGTGGCATCTCCGCCGAGCCTGCGCCATGGCACGGAGCGGGTCAGGTGGCGCGGCATCTCCACCGAGCCTGCGCCACGGCACGGAGCGGGTCAGGTGGCGCGGCATCTCCACCGAGCCTGCGCCACGGCACGGAGCGGGTCAGGCGGCGCATCTCCGAGCCTGCGCCACGGCACGGAGCGGGTCAGGTGGCGCGGCATCTCCACCGAGCCTGCGCCACGGCACGGAGCGGGCCAGGCGGCGAGGGATCTCTGCCGAGCCTGCGCAGCTACACGCGCACACGAACACCGGCTGTGAGGAGGGGCCACCGACTCGTTAAAACCAGAGACGGCGTGAGAACGAACTGAACACATGAGACGCCAGAATACGGAACCACACCCGTTTCTGAAGCACACACTTCTCCTGTATCACCATGTAGATGATGTATGGTGATACCCGGAAGCAATGATGCGATAGCGTGGCTTGCACAGAAGTGGAAGGACCATGATGCTCCCGTCCCCCTGCTTCTCCCCGGCTCCCGCGTCGTCGGACACGCACAGCCACGCCCAGTGACGGGGTGTCGGATGGCGTAGAACAGAACCTTAAGCATCCGTGTCGGAGGTGGGCCTCCAGAGCGGCGCGCGCCCTGAGACGCCCGCTCCCATGCAGCTCACCCTCCTTGTCGATTCCGTATGCCCTGAGCATCTTGCCCATGTGGTCTTTGTCGTAGTGTTTGAAAGGGCAGCCGGAGTCATTGGAGCCGGCCGCCAGGATCTTGCTGCACGGGTGCGCGCTGTAGGAGGTCCGCTTTCCCTCCTGGCCGTAGTTGTGCCGGATGTTGTACAGATACTGCTTGTGGAACTGCCGAAATAACGGGGGGGGGGGGGGGGGGGCTTTACCCAACAGCACCACAACCATCACAGGACTGGAGTAGGACACGAAAAGGAGCCCGCCAGCTGCCCAATCCGCCGATGCCGCGCTGACATACCACGGACGCCCAGCTCTGCAGACCCAGGCAGAGTCGCGATGTCTGGCTACTGCCACATGTTACGCAGGCAAGTCATGATCGACAAGAGCAGGCTGTCAGTCTTTCCTGACTGTCCAACTACTTGGCTATGCCGATCACACAACGGTCACATCAGAACCCTGTGGGCCACCTGAAGACCACAGCCCGTGGTGGCACATATTACAAAAATCGCGACCTGACAAACCACAATGTGTGGACATTTCGTTCAAGACAGTTTCAGATAAACATGACAACGGCTGAACCCCACATACGACAACCAGGTCAACAAGTCCAGCACAGCATCACACAAGTGTACAGCAGTACGTCAGAAGTGGCATTACCATACTGCACGGCAACAACACAGGTTCCGTGCCTAGTTCCCCAGAGCCCCGTCACCTTATCCGAGTCCATGATCTTGGTGAACTCCTCGCGCCAGAAGGCGATGGCGTTGTCGAGCGAGAGCCCGATCGCCTTCAGGAAGAGGCCGTACTGCATGCGGCCGCCGTGGAGGAGCTTGTGGTTGGCGCGGAGCCGCTCGTGCAGCTGGCGCATGCAGGGCGGGAACGACTGGCTGGACAGCTGCCGAGATCGGCATCGGTCTCAGTCCGGCAGCCAGGGACGGTCAGGGATGGTCAGGGACGGCCAGGGACGGCCAGGGACGGTCAGGGACGGCCAGGGACAGTCGGGAACGGTCAGGGACGGTCAGGGACGGCCAGGGACGGCCAGGGACAGTCGGGAACGGTCAGGGACGGCCAGGGACAGCCAGGGATAGTCGAGAACGCTTAGGGACGGCCAGGGACGGTCGGGGACACTCAGGGACGGCCAGGGACAGTCGAGAACGCTCAGGGACGGCCAGGGACAGTCGGGAACGGTCAGGGACGGCCAGGAACAGTCGGGGACGCTCAGGGAGGTCACAACAGGCGGCGGCACAACAGGTAAGCCGGAGCGTGTCAACTACAGGAGTCAACCAAGTGGGTCCCTCTGACGCTTCATGAATACGAAAAAGGTGGACCAAACAGCACACATGTCTCGTTCCGACAGCACCACTTCGCCACTGGGATAAACCCGCTTCGCTGAAAGCCTCGCATGAATCGGCCCGGGCGGCAACCGGGCGGAACGTGCATCCGGCACCGCCGTGAGCAGCTGGAGACACCCAGCGGACGCGACCGACCGGCGGCCGGGAGCTCACACCTCGTCCAGCATGTCGGGCGTGACGGCGTTCTCGTCGGTCTTGGCCGCCGAGTAGTCGCGGCCCGTGTAGCGCTTGTCGAAGTCGTTCAGCATCGTCTTGAGCCGGGCGTCCTCCTCCACCACCGGCAAGAGGCGGCGCGCCATCTGGCGCACGGGCAGCACACTTAGACGTCGCCGCGTCGGCATCCGCGCCCTGTCCCGGGCGGCGCGGCACGACCACGCCAAGGCACGTTGCAACATAGCCACCGCAGCCGCGGTTTTAAACACCTGGGGTATTTCTCGCGCCCCCGGCGGGAGGTTGAAACGAACCGCTGGCTGGCCAGGCAACAGCCCACAAGGGCGGATCTGGCTGAGAGCCGCCCGTCGGGCCAGCCGAGGACGACGCGTCTGCACATGCTCAACGTCGCGAGCCTGTCAGCGGCGTGCGCGAGGCAGCCCTGGGAGACACACGCCTTCCCGCTCCGTCGCACCGCACTCACCGCCAGCGCGTGCTGCAGGTGGTGGCGGAACTTGGCGGCCACGATGGAGCCCAAGTCGTGCGCCGGGATATACGCCTGGCCGGCGGCGAGCAGCACGCGGCGCGCGCGCACCAGCTCCAGTGCCTCGACGAACGGCACCGTGTACCACTGAGTGAGCTCGAGCGCGCTGGCCGTCAGCCGGGCGGTGGCGGCCTGTAGCTGGTCCCGCAGGCGGCGTACCGTCTCCTCGCTCACCTAGCGGGCGCCGGCGCCGGCCGTCACCCACTGTATCACGACCCGACCTCCGGGGCACGGGCCACGGCTCGGGTCACGGGCCACGCGCTCGGCGCTTGCTGACCCATCCCCCGTCTGACAACCTGCCGCACTTGCCACTTTGTGCAGCCCTCGACATGATACGAATTATGACCTGAGAAACTCATCTGCTACACCAAGATAATGCATTGGCTGCACCAAGATGAAAGAAGACACGTGGCCCTTCTCAATACAGTTGTTTTGTTACCTCGTACAGGTCGCAAGTAGCAGACAACCACAAATAAAACGTTACACTG